ACTCTTTTCACCATGTTGGTTACAAATAACCCAGCATAGACATTTTTAAAAATACGATTTTTATTCCTATACCATTATATTAGTACACGGAACCTTTAGAAAAAATAACAATACTGAAAAATCTTTTGTTCTGGAAATTTGACCATACAAAAAAAACAATAAAATTTATGGTATTGAATTTGTGACTTAATTTGTTGAACGACAGACTAAATTCTACGCATGATATAAAAGTTGCATTAAATAATTTGCAATCTGCACCTTTGTTTTACGAAGAATCCGTGTTTTTAAGATATATTGTACTTTTATTGAAAAAACCCCATAAATACGATTTTACTGACTGATATAGAAATTTGAGATGGTTGAGTAAGGATGATTTTGGAAATTGGACCGTTTGGCATGGAATGACCTTTACATTTAATTTCTTTTATACAATTAGAGGTAATCGAAGCAAGAAAATTAAATTTATTTAAATGAAAATAAGAATAAGTAAAATTTTTTAAATGAGTATATAAAATATCCATTATGAGATCCGAGTCATAATAATGAACATTACATTAAGCCAATATCATGAACATTATGAAATCATTATTATGAAAAACTGCTAAATAAAAAAGCTTTGAACCTGCAAAACTGCTACAAGTCGGTTAAATTTAGTTTATGAATTTTTTTACATGCATATCATTGTTTATAATTCAAAAATGAAACTGACATAACTGATATTGTTTTACCATTAATTGCGATGGAGACAGTTGACTGATGTAATAATTGTTTGCATAGTGATATACTAACAATTGTTCATCCGGTCATACTTTTCCGTTTTTAACACTGTTCCATGGGTTGTTCAATTTTATGTAGATTTGAGGAATTTTTTTCTTTGATTGAAAAAAGGTTTAATTTATTACCAGTTTTATTTTTTCCTTTATCCTTCTAAGCCATGAATCTCGCAGTCTTTAATTCACAAATTACTTTTCATCCTACCATTACCACTGTTAAGTTTTTTTTTCAATCTACAAATTCTCCTAAATTTCAGAAAAACACTTTTTTTTTTTAATTTTTGGAATACTAATAGCTGATATTAAAAATCATGTGCTCGAAAGCGATGAATTTCGGCTTAAACATTTAGCGCTGAAATGTAACCAAGCTGTTTAAATTTAAAACATTTCTGGCATAATTTTTTTTTGTTTCCTTTTTTCAGTTGCAAAATTTCAATTTGATTGCTAAATTTCCATTTTTTCCCAATTTTTTTTTTCAATTTCTTTAAAATTCCATAGGTTCCGCGAACCTGTTTCTTGAACAAAGAATAAGTTTAATATAATTAAGAACACATTAAAAAATGTAGTGTGAACAAAATTATATATTACTATTTTATTCTCAGCAGATTTTAATATACCAGTATTGCTGTTATGCTTAAGTTGATACTAAATGACTCGATTACCTCTAGAATAACTTTTAATTTAAAATCCTTGGAAACAACTTCATTTTTAAACATACAAATTATTAAAACCTGTAAACATTCAGTTCCTCTGAAAAGCCATATATAATTTTTTTCCAATAATATTTAATTTATTTCCTTAGCAAAAAAGTAAAAAGATGGTAACTTTTTAAGTTACTTAAAATTGAAATTAAAAATTAAGTATTTATTAGCTGTTTGCAGACAACATTAGGTTGCACACAACATTAGGTTACACACAACATTAGTTTATATCAAGTGAAACAATGGAATAAGAATAACGCAGCAGAAAGAAATCTCATCATTTGCATTCCGTTACTTGCAAATTCTTTAACAAAAAAAAAATTAGTTTGGACTTCGTTAAAATTCTTCTTTTTGAAACGAATTTTTAAAAGCAACATAACATATTTACTTTTTATAAAACATATTTACTTTTAAATTTTTTTTTAGGTAATGAGTTATATCTTTTTTTTTTTGATAATAACTTACAATACGCACATAGACATATATTCATATACACAGATACACTCATATAGTTATATACACACACACATACACACACACATATATATATATATACACACATACATACATCTATACATACAAAAGGCCGGCGCGGTGTGGGAAGGTGTGACACCCTCCGATCAATGATTTTTTTGTTCATTTAGTCGGCAAATTAGACCTTTTTTGACTAGTCAGTCGACAAATGTTTTCCCTTGATAATAAAAATTTGTGTTCAAAAAGTCTCCGTGTGTTCGAAAATAATATTTTTCATTGGAATGCTGGTAAATGTTTTTTTAAAACAAGTAGAGCTTAAATTTATTTATTATTATTACGAACCATGTCATTTTTACAAATTTACAACTTTATTTTTTCATTTTACGTTATTTATAAATTTTTTTTTTTCCTCTGACATTTAATAAGTGCGGCCGTGGCGCAGTGGTTAAAGCGCTTGCCTTATAAGCAGGAGATCCTGGTTCGAAACGAGCTTTGGACATATTTCGCGTTACGGTAAGAAAGGAGGCGTGAACTTTCTCGTTAAATGCACTTCCGCGGTGCTCTGTGACAAAACCGTTAGGACTTCTTGGGGCACTTAAAATAACAAATAAAAATAAAAAAAGTACTTTTTTCTTTTAAGGCTATTTTTTCACCATACTTTATTTAAGTACGTTGTTATTTTATTTTATTTATAAGTACGTTGTTATAAATACTGATGACACAAACATAACCAATAATGATGAAGACTTTTCCGGCGGGTTTCAAGCTGTAATGAGTGAAGAGAATGACTTTATTGAACTGACTGATGATTTGCAGCCGTTAATCAAAAAGGTGCGCACCGTGTGAAATTTTTATTTCGCCGTTCTCCGACAAAAAATGATCAAAATTCAAAAACGCACGTTAGAAAAATTTGATAAAGATATTCCACTAATACTTAGATCCAAAACTAGCTGGGTTAGCTTGCACACAGTACTCGAACGTTTTGTATAATTAAAAAAATGCATTCACGAGTCACTTTTTGCCCTTGAGTCCAACGTTGAGGTAACTAATAATGAGTCCGATGCAATATTAGCTGTTAACTTATGTCTTGCGCCAGTAAAACTGGCTGTGGAAACATTGTGCCAAAATCATGCAACTCTGTTGTGTGCCGATACAACATTTTCATGATAGATAACCTTTGAGAAATCAATTTAGCTGTAAAGTTATGTTGGTGCAACAATTCAATGAGCAACGTACTCTTTGTCCAGCATACAACATTTTTTGCACAAGGGACATCAACGTTACAAGAATTTGGATCTAGCTCTATCTTTTGAGCACCATAGCAAATTAGCCATTGTAAATACCATTACTTGACTGAAAGATCGGCTCAATCAGAAAGGGTATAGTCCTCTCCTTTTCAACAGCGTTTTTTCCGATAGTGATTCTGTGGACAACGCTGTAAACTTGTCATTGAAAAAAAAGCTTGACTTTGCAATTTTGAAAAATAAGAAATGTAACAACAAGGGAAAGTTGAATGTTTCGAATAATTCATCGAAAATTATATGTATTAAAATAGGAATTTTTGAAGAAGGAGGAAATCGTTGTATATATTTGCAAAATTCCTACCATTACTTGAAAACTGTGAAGCCAACAAAATTAGATCTTTTGAAGATGATGTTCTGAACGCCCTATGTTTTTTACGGGCTCATTTTACAAAGCAGAAAAAAGCGAAAAATGAAAAAGTCAGTAGTTTTGATATAAAAAAATAAGCTGATTGAATCAATAAAATTTTTACTATTAACTTGAGATTTTATTTAGATTATGATAAATTTAAAAATAAAGTTTAGTACCGGTAATATATCGGTATTACCGGTATTGTAATTATTTAGTACCGATATACCGGTATTGAAAAATGGTATTGGTATTGGAAGCACTAGTCAGAGCTTGACATAAAATTCAGCCGTAAATTTTATGGTAAATTTAAGCAAAACCTTTTCTTATATTTTTAAAAATGTTTCACTTTTGCTTAAATGTTCTGATTATTTTTTGTAATAATTATTTTATTCACCAATTTCTATTTGGTATAATGCTTGTTGAAGAAAATCAACTAGTTTTGATGTTGTTATTTCATTGTGAAAATTGATGATTATTCATGAATAGTAGCACATATATAATGCGTTCTTTCAAAAAATTGGTACATAATATTGTGATTTTTTTCTTTTTCAAAAAATAGCTACATATAAATGTGATGTTTTTCTCTTTGAAAGAATAGCAACATATTATTCTGATGTTGCTTATTTCAAAGAACAGCCACATATCATTTTGATGTTTCTCTCGTTCAAAGAATAGCTGCACATCATTGTGATACAAGTTTTTACTGATAATACAAGACATATCAGCTGTTTTCTTAAATCAAAATCACAAAATCATTTCAAAGGTGACATAAGTTCCATTTCCATTAATCCCTAAATAGTAAAAACTTAGATGCAATATTATATTTTAAGAAATATATCAGAAAATATTCAGTACAAAAAAATATTTGATAGTAGACTCAATTTAACTATTTTCTTTTCCTTTTTAATTCTAAGCACCTAAAATACATAAAAACAAATATCAAATATTTTCAATATGAATTCAGCATTACACTAGTTAATCAGAACAAATCCATTTTGTCGCAACTGACTATTCATATTGATTTTGAAATAAAAACATTTTTTTACAAATTTAAAAATTATATTGCTTAAAATATACATAAGATCCTACATAAATGGTCGAAGGCAAGCGTTCATTTAACTTTAATGAAAATAAAATTATTTCTAGCCTACTAGGTATAAAGAATAAATTAGGAACTGGAGGGTATTCACGCAGATTTTTTGACAAAACCAGATAACGTTTTCAAAAAATTAGAGTTTTTATAAAAACTGAAAAAATCATAACACACTTATTTTTTTAAATTAATTAATAAGTTTTTAGGACAGACATCTGCCTATTAAGCAACTTTTTAAAACAACTATGGTAAATAAACAAACAATGTTTGGTAATAAAGTAATGATGGCGTAGTTTTTTATTTTAGATAAAAAGAATGAAGTTGCAGCTGTTTTTCCTAATTTTTTCAGTTGTATCTAATATGATAAACAGTAATGACCAGATTCAAAACGAGGTTATATCTTCGAATTTTCCTATAAATTACGATAGAGCAGAAAAGAAATTTTCAAAACGAGATGTTCCATTATTACGTCTTTCAGACTTTAAAACTATCTACGAAAACATGCAAGCTAATCTCGTTATTGAATGGAAAACTCTTATTGACAACAGTAACGTCTTTACCGAAAGTAAAGATTAGTAGAACACCAGAGTACGGTGGGTGTTCAACAACTTATGGGAATTTTCTTACATGACGCATATCGATAATATGACACGATAAGTAAGCAATACATGCAAATGACATATGTATATAAAACGTATATAAGACATGCATATAGCATAAAATATCATACATAGAATTGTTACGTATGACATATTCGTATACAAATTACGAGACGTAGCGATAAAAAAAAAACTCTTTTGTGTTATTTGATTTTTTTTTTTTTTCAACTTTTTATATTTCATTGAAAATTAAATGAAGCACAATTGGATAAAAACTCTAAGTAAAAGTAATTATGTGTGTATATATATATATATATATATATATATATATATACACACATAATTACTTTTATATATATATATTCAGCACAATTGGATAAAAACTCTAAGTAAAAGTAATTATGTGTGTATATATATATATATATATATATATATATATATATATATATATATATATATATATATGAATATATATATATATATATATATATATATATATATATATATATATATATATATGTATATATATATATATATATATATATATATATATATATATATATATATATATATATATATATATATATATATGTATATATATATATATATATATATATATATATATATATATATATATATATTTGATTTTTTCTTTTAATTTGTATAATTTTGAACGAGGTAATTTTTCAATTCATGAGTAAATTTCAGGGACGTTCAAGGAGTATAAATTAAAAACAAATTTAAAAAAAACATTTTACTGCAAATTTTATTAAAATAAAATTTATTTCAGTAATAAAGAACTTTTCTACATGGCAATTTTAAAGTTTTTTTGATATTGCATTAGATCTGAACCCTAGAGGTTCGTAGAGTTTTTTAAATAAGTCTCCTTTAACGTCACTTTTTTTTTTTTTTTAATCATTTATAACTACGACAAACTGTTTTATAATTGTAAAAAATTAATTGATATTTTTGAACGAATAACAGCTTTATTATAATGTAATAAAATAATTATAAAGAGAGAAATGACCTATTAAATCAACAAAATTTGCTTAATTTAAAATAACGAGTTATTTACTACAATATTACAATATATAAATTTTTATACAATATAACTTTATTGTAATAATCAATTTAGTAAAATATAATATACTACTATATTATTATGCATATATTATTATATATATTATTTTATTCTTGTTGTTTATAAGTTGGTTATTTCAAACATTTAATAACTTTCCTACGCCACTGAATATATATATATATATATATATATATATATATATATATATATATATATATATATATATATATATATATATATATATATAAATTATTTTATTTGTTTTTAAATGCACAACTTAAGCGGCGGGTGAACATATGTAATATATAGTTTTAAAAACATAACTGGATTCCAATTAATAAGAGTTCTTTTAAGATTACCAAACATCTTGTTGGCTTTTAATGCTGCATTTTCTATTTGATCAGAACACTTAAGTTTATTGTTGAAATAAACTCCTAGTGACTTTTCAATATCGATATTTAAAAAAAAAATGATAGTGCATGATGAGTATACCAAAAAAAAAATAGTTTAAAGCATCGAAACCGCCATAAAAGCTTATTCCCAGCAAACACGCGAACGTCGCGAGGACGTTGCATTCTAACAGTCCGTTTCTTGTCGTAAAGTGTAATCCCGCTTGACGTCAAACAACGACGTCGTAATGACGTTGCACTTGTGATTATAAACGGACCGTCTAGATATTAGTGCCGTCGCGACGTTTTTTCGACGTTCGTGTGTTAAAGCTATATAGTAAATACGCAATTTGCTCGTTTGGTATCCCCTTTATCTATATTCCCAATATAATAAAAGATTTAAAGCGCTAAAAATGTCAATTAAATTTGAAATAAAGTACATTAAATTTGAAATAAAAATACACAGAAAATCCAAACAATTAACTTAAATAACAGTTTTTTAGAAATATTTATGAGGAGTAAACAAACTAGTATGTTTAACAAATTAATTTAGTTTAAAAATAAAAAGGCAATGAAAAAGCAGCTACTTCTTCTCAGGTTTAACCCTTATAAAATATTAGATTTAAAAAAAATGTTTTATACTAGCATTGCTTGCAGTTAAAATTTTCTCTTATAAAAATTCAATTTCTGGAAAATAAAAAACAAGAATTAAAATAAAAATCTTTTTAAACACTATTAAAAGATTAATTTAAATAATATTAAATGATTAACAATATTTAAAGAACATATTTATAAATTTCATTTTATTTCTAATCGTTGCCTTTACTTGGATTTTTTAAACCACCTTTTCGCAATCGAGCGTGTTTTAAAGTCACACCAATACTATGTTCGATATCTTTTTGTGTATACTTTTTCGACTTTGCAACAGTTGCTAGAAAAATAACAAAAATGTTATAAGGAATAAAGTAATGCTTTTTATTCTTGTCTTAATTTTAGTGACCCAAGTTTGTTTGGAATTTTAACTGTTACTCACCTAGATTTTAATTTAAATATTTATGTAGATAAACTAATTTGCCATATATACAAGTATATATGGCAAATATATGAGTGATTCCTACAACCATTTATGATTGTTTCTTACAACCATTTCATATATTTTCTAATATTTTCTTTAACTCTGATTTTTCTGATTGTAACTTATCTTATTTTTTCTAAAAAAAAAAAAAAAAAAAAAATCATATTTTGCTAATATGAAGTATATTTACTTATGTCATCTGACTCAAATTTTAACAGTGCTATAAAACCGTATTTTAGAATTTAACTAGAAAAGTGTTGAGAAATTTTACCATAATTTGTTAATCTAAATTTGCAATAATTAAAAATAACATACCGACGATTAACTTCATTGTATTTGTCTTTCAAAAAGACAGCTTATCCATTTTCCCGTTTAATTTGTACTCACTCACGACGCCATTTGACATAACCCTAAAAAGTAACACAAGGAATTTGCACATCAAATAAAAATAAAGTTAAAAAAATCATCAAAAAATGCCAACGTAATAATCATGACCTCCAAGAGAAGTAATAATATTTTTGAAATTTGACAATAGATTTAGTTATTTTTTGAAACTTACCCAGGGTGCAATCATGATTCTCTCAGTGACAATGGTAATAATATATACATATGGTAATACAATCAACCCTTGGTTGCTGACCTTGTTTCTATGTTTTATGGTCAGACCTTTGTATGAAATAATTTTTGCCGACCTCAAAAAGATTGAGGTCGGCAATAAATTGCAGACCTCATTTTTCCTAATTCCGAGGTTTGTACAATAATACACATCAATCATTTATATATGTTTATAACTTTTAAAAAATTGATTAAATTTAAAAATAAGACAACCATAATCAACTTACTTGTTCATAATATTCCTAACATATTTATGGCATTCCTAACATATTTATGACAGGCAAACAAAATCAAAGTAGAGGTTTTAAATTGTTTAAAAATTTCATTGCAAATAACAATTCTAATTATATAGTTGCTTCAGGAAGAAAAAAACAACAACAGAATTTTAAAATTGTAAACTAAAGTATTGATTATATTTAAATGAAAAACAATGAAAAATGAATTTTTGAAATAAAATTAAACTTACAAAAGGCTTTTTAATTCCACTCAATTCGCATAATTAAAGAAACTTTATTAGAAAGTGTAAATGAAAAAATATACTTACTTTGAAATGATGCAACATATTTATTGTATCTGTATTATTAGTTAAAAGGTTCTCATTCCTTGCAAGAGACAATGTTTTAGAGCTACTGCTACTACTGAGATCTGGAGATGCTGAAAATAATTGATAACATAGAATTTAAAATCATATTATACTAAATTCATTGTTAAAAAAAATAACTATGACTCACAAAAGTCCTGTGCTAATAAAATTTTTATATACAAAAATTAAACAGGCATAAAACAAGTTTCAAAAAAATTAAAAGAATTCATTTCAACAAGAAATGCATTAAAAAAATTGTTAAGTTTTAGTTCTGCTTGTTGCATAACTATAACACAAAAAGCTTTTCCGCATTGAACTATAGAACTTATTCGTATAGAACATAGAACTTATTCGAAAGGTATTAAACACTACCTGAAATCTTCCGTTATTGCAGAATGCTGATGAAGTAGGAACCAACACCTTCTGAGATTTGTGTTTTTTGCAAACTAGATCTAGTTGGCAAAAAGCACAGGTCTCTATAAGTCTTTAGGTCTCTAAAGAGATGTAATCATTATCATTACTTCAATATAATTGATCAATAAAACGATATAAATATATACATTTCAGAAAAACTATTTTTAAAAAATGTGTCCTGTGAATTAGAGCTAAAATAAAATATCTTAAAATAAAAAAGTTTTGTCTCCTTACCTTTTCTGCCTTTTTTAACTGATGAATGCAATAGAGGTGGCATTTTCATGTTACTTTTATGACCAGACGCTTTTGGTTCTTAAATTAGAAAAAGTAGTTATAATGCACCAATTAGATTTTAAATATTGAAGAAAAAAAATTTTATTCTAAAAACTGCTGTCTAGAATAACATTTACTTGTAAACTATTTGGAAACTAAATGTATTAAAATGTAAACATTTGTAAACTTAAGTTTAAAGATTTAGTCAATTTAGGCAGTAAAAAAAGAATAGTATTCAACTTGTTTATGTTATCCTGGAGTACATTTCATAAATCACAAAAACCCACATTTACCTTGTTTATATTTTGGAGATAATCTGTTCTTTGGTAGTAAATTTAAAATCTACAATTATGACGATTGTCGGAAAAAGTAAAAAATTAAATAATACCATTAAAATATTAAATAAACCATTATTTTGAGCATTTAATTTATTAGTTAAATAGAAAACATGCACAGAAAAAATTATATTACCTAATAATGTTTTCTTAGAAAATAAGTAAAATATTAATCTCATCAATTAGAAATAACACAGAATTTGAGTCATACTTGAATTATATTTTAGTTTAACAAGATCAAACTTTATTCAATTTTAGCTAGGAGACTTACTTTCAAATAAGCAGCTCTTAAGGCATTAATTTTTACTAGCCATCTAACAAAACTACCCTTTATCCATTTAGTAAGGTTAGTACCTTCTTCCTCACCATCTCCTTCCATTCAAACTGCTCTGGTCCACTTATATTTGTTAGTTTGGCTCATACTGCTTAAATCTAAACTCAATATATTAATTTTTAGCTGCTAAAAATAATATTGGGTTGGTAATCGTATTGGGTTCGTTGGGGGAAGATAAGGCTCCTTAGCTATGGTTAAGGAAAAGGAGACTATAAGAAGAAAAACTTTGATATAAAACCCCATTTAACTGCAGGTTTTAAATAGCAATATAGCATTATATATAGCATGAGCTTATATATATATATATATATATATATATATATATATATATATATATATATATATATATATATATATATATATATATATATGTATATATATATATATATATATATATATATATATATATATATATATATATATGTATATATATATATATATATATATATATATATATATATATATATATATACAAATAGTATTGCGTACTAAGGTAAGCAATCTGACGTCATACAGAAATAGCCTGCTGCTGGGGGTTTCAGTACATACATCGACTGACAAATAGCCTGACTCGTAGTGGAGTGCTGCTACATTGACCGAGGGTTTGGGATTGGGCAGCAATTGTTTCATTTATCATTCTTCGTTTTTTTTTCTTCTTTTTCTAAAAAAGCCGTATGGGTTAAGGTAAGCAAAAAAAGTGAACAAATGCTTATAGAAATATGCTTAAGACTAAAGCATATTTTTATAAGCATTTGCTCACTTTTTTTGCTTACCTTAACCCATACGGCTTCTGTGATGATCCAAATACACAATATCCTTTTTTGGGAGAAACATTCGTCAACTGACTTGCCATAAAATAAATTAACACAACCAACAGTATCAAGACTTTTACTAATTTCAACGTAATTTTCTTTGCGGAAATACTATTAAAGCTAATAGATTGGACCGGTGTTTTTAATGTGAAATATATATATATATATATATATATATATATATATATATATATATATATATATATATATATATATATATATATATATATATATATATATATATATATATATATATATATATATATATATATATATATATATAGTATTATTTATATAAATTAATTGGCTGAAGCAAAGAGAAGACTTAATTTTGTTTAATTATTAAGCTCTCATTTTATAACCGTAATTTATAAATACTGTATTTAAAAAGCTCAAATATATAAACATGAAGATAATAAAAGTTATTGCTACAAATACTGCAAATGTAAAAAATGATGACAACTGTAGTTGTAATAAGCAATTAAATAGTTTAAAAAAAAAACAAAAAAACTGAGAGGTAATGCCCTTAAGAAACTTTGAAACATGCATTGTGATTATAACATATTTTATTTATACATTTTTTTCTAGAGCGATTTTCTTTTTAATAAATTATCTGAAAAATTTTTTTTTAGATATGACTTACATACTTAATTGAGTTTCAAATTATATTTTAGAACATATGTTTATAGCAGATTTTACTAAAATAGGATTTTTTTAGTCTTTTTTTTTTTTTTTTTAGTCATTTTTCTCCAAAAAAATAGCCATTGGCCTCGATCCGCCACTGTGAAGGGTGTGGGGATAGGGCAACAATACTGGGTAGGTCAAATGGTGGTAGGCCACAAATTTTATCAAAGGAACTTACGCTAAAAATACGGATAACAGACTTGGTCTTTTTTATCTTTTATATCTTAATTTGTAATCGTTTGCTTTTTTCTACAAACTAACTTCAAAGTTTTATATTTAAAAAATTATTGGGAGGGGGTTGACCCCCTGGTTGCTACGGGCATGATCGTAAAATATATATCAACTATATATGTATAGTTGATATATACTTTGTATAATATATATATATATATATATATATATATATATATATATATATATATATATATATATATATATATATATATATATATATATATATATATATATATATATATATCTTGTATAATTGAGCGATAAGTAACTATGAATAAAAGCAAAGTATAAAAATGTTAGTGATTTAAATTTAAGAAATGGTTTATTCTTATAAATCATTCCATTACTCTTTTAAAAATTTCTTTATTTGAGAATTCTATCGTAAATTTTTATCAAACCACTTCTTAAAAATTTGCCGATAAGACTTTTTTTTAGTAATGGTTTTATTTGTAATAAGATTAGTAATTTCGATGGAATGTTAACAGTTTTATTCAATTAATGGCAAAAGATAAGTTTCTAACATTCTAAGAAAACCTGTTACTTACAAATCCCTCAATAACTTTAATTAATTGTTCATCATCAATTGAAAAATGTTTTTAGTATTATTTTGTGAATAAAAAAGATTGGAGTCACAAAATAATATAAAATTTATAAGATTGATATAAACCATAAGTGTATAGAATGAACAATAATGTCCCTAAAATAAAGCCTTAGGAACCCCCAGTATTTATTGAGTGTAACACCCACCCAAACCAAAAATAAACAAATTTTAATAGTGATATTTTAAACACGTTTTATATTTTTCGTTAACATGAAATTTAGAACTGGTTTTATTTCCACGCAGTAAACTTAGGGATCGTCCATAAATTATGTAACGCAAAATTTCACAATAAACAACAAAAAAAGATCAAAAGCTTTTCTCGCAGAGTCTGAATCTAAATAAAAAATCGCTGCGCAAAAGAGCCTTATATCTCCTACTTAAATTTTTAAAATATATTTTGCGTTGCGTAATTTATGGACGATCCCTTAAAGGCTTTTTAAATCAAACAACCTCGCGATGTTGCTTTGGTAAGACACGATTAAGATGTAGTTTTTTTTAAGCGTAGGCTTGATGTGAATGAGGTATTAACTAAATATCTTGTTTCCCAATCTATTGAGTTAATTCTTTCAAAAATCTTCCAAAATAAGTTTTAGTTTCTAATTCCATAAAGTTTAAGTTTATTTAATAACTTTACAATCAATGGCTGAGCGGATCAATCAAAACTCTTAGTATAAAATAATCAATGTATAGAGTCATGTATTGTGTCAAGTATTAAATGTGAAATATTACATTGAATAATTTGAGTAATGTGTGTGCAGTTAAATGCAATTTTTTTGAAACCGAACTGTTCTTAGTTACATAATCATAGAGTCTGTTATAAATTATACGTTTAATTAATTTCAAGGAGCTAGACAATATAGAAATCGGTCAGTAGTTAGAAATACTTTACTAGTCTATTACCGTTAAAAATTGGTTTCAAATAATTTTTAACTATTCAGAAACGATACCTGATTCAAGAGAACATTTAAAATTATAGAACCAAAATGGCTCAAAAATATCAAATACATATTTTAAACATAGTCACTAAGTATTACCTACTTACTAAGTATATATACTAAGTATGTAAGTATGTAATACTTTACGTATGTAATAGTTAAAAATTATTTTAAGCAGCCGTGGCGCAGTGGTAGCGCACTTGCCTCAGGAACGTAAGATCCATTGTTCAAACCCCACCCTAGGCAAGTTTTGCGACCGGTTGGGTAGGAAGCGTGAACTTCCTATTAAATGCTCTTCTGCCGTGCTCTGTGATAAGACCTTAAGGACTTCTTGGGGCACCTAAATTCAACATTAAAAAAAAAAAAAAAAAAAATACTTGTGTGTTACATACATACATACTTAAAATTTTGTTATTCTTGTAAATACTTAATATCCAGTATTGGACAAAAAATTTGCAACCAACATCGAACAATGCTAAAAAGTAATCCTAGTTTTACATGTCTTAAAAACGAAACGAACTATACTACCGCAGCAAACAGGTCAGGAGTCTGGAGTCTTACCATGCCATGACAGCAATCAGCTGACAGTTGACAGCACACAGGCAGAATTTCGTTGACAAGTACAATTTTGCAGCGGACAAAACAAGTGCAACTTTCTTAGTTTGTTTCATTTTTTTAAGTCTGGTCCATATCAACGTCATGGAAGTTTTTTAATAATTAAAGAAAGTATCCAGAAGTTTCCAGAAGTTTCCAGAAGTTTCCAGAAGCATGCAGAAGCATGCAGAAGCTTCCAGAAGCTTCCAAAAGTTTCCAAAAGAAGAAACTGAAAGCATCCCGAAGCATCCAGAAGTATCCAGAAACATTCAGAAACATCCAGACGCATCCAGAAGCTTCCAGAAGCTCCTCCAGAACAGGTTTGCACAGGTTCATTTTATTATATGAGACATGTAAACCGACATGTAATTCAGTCAGTATATGGAAGTCAATCAATCAGTATTATCAAGACAGTTTATCGAAGTGAGTTTTATGAAAGTGTTTTATTGAAGTAAATCAATACAAGAAGTGAAATACAACAAGTGTTTCATTACATCAGTACAGTCCACATCCAACCAAGACGTTGTGTTCCACAAAGCAATATTGTATCATCACAAGGTAAATGTAACACGGTAAGCCTTGAGAAGCGTGATTATTTATTTTCATTATTTTTATGACTTCAAGTGCAAAAATGGCCACTGACAGTCTTGGATTGGAATTAAGAAAGAAAATTATTGACGAATACGTAAGTGGAATGTCGCAAAAAAGTATTTGTGATAAATATCGCGTGAAAAAATGGACCGTATCAAGACTATGTTCCAAATATCGTTCTACAGGGAACTTGGCAGCAGATAACAAAGGTGGAAGACCGCGTTCCACCACTTATAGAGAGGATTCTATGATCGTCAGATCCGTCTAGAAGGATCCCTGGATATCATCAGTCGAGATACAAAAGCAATTAGAGCTGCCTGTATTGGACCGAACAATCAGACGACGTGCTGTTGAAGCCGGATTGTTTTCTCGACGCCCTGCAAAGAAACCGCTGATTTTACTAAAGAACCAGAAGAAAAGAGTCCTGTTTGCTACATCTCATATTGACTGGAATGTGCAGAAATGGCAAACTGTCCTGTTCAGTGATGAATCGAAGTTCAACATTATTGGGAGCGATGGCATTTGCCATGTACGTCGACCGGGCGGAAAACGCCTCGATTTACGTTACTGCCATAAGACCGTGAAGCATGGTGGAGGAAATGTAATGGTCTGGGGGTGTTCTTCTGCTAACGGTCTAGGTCCAATACATCTAATCTATAGAATAATAGACCATTTTATGTATAAAAATATCCTTAATGATGTTATGTTACCTCATGTTGAATGGAATATGCCAATAAAATGGGTTTTTCAGTAAGACACACTACAAAAGTAGTCAAGCAGTGGTTTTAAGACAACTACCAATCGGTGGTAGATTGGTCGCCTCAATCTTTGGATCTCAACCCTATCGAAAATCTGCGGGAGATCGTCAACCGCAGAATTAATCGTTAAGGTGTTTGTAATAAGGATCAACTGTTTGAACAAATCCAAAAGGCCTGGGCAGCAATTCCACAAAGTTTCATTGATCACCTGATTGAATTTATGCCTCAAAGATGCAATTCTGTGATCGACAACAAAGGATTCGCAACGAAATATTGATAGCGAAATACAGCTTGGTCAACATTTTGTGGAGTTGCACTTGTTTTGTCCAGAAGGATATCAACTTTTTTTAATACTTTTGATTAATTTATTAATTTTCGTGTACAAATAATGAACTTTGTGATAAATAAACTTGAAGAACGTTGTCTCTAAACAGTTACATAGTTATTTCTCTAAATTGAAAAAATGCAGCACTTTTATATAAAGAAACTAAATTAGCATTATTTTATTGCACTCGTTTTGTCCGATTCTGTACAAGAATAACAAAATTTTAAATAATCTTAAATGCTAACCCAAATTATGATTTTTTAATTAATTTGTTTTTTTCAAATTCATACCTAAAACGACTGCAAGTAACCATTACTTATATCAAAAGTTATCGAATTGCAAAGAGGAGAAATAATTTGAAGACAGGTAGAGAAGAAACAACCTAAGAATCGACGAAAGAAAGCGAAAATGAAAGTTGGAGTTTGAAAAAAACCGAAAATGAAAGTTTGAGTTATAGTGAAGGGAAAGTATTGAAATTGTTTGAAGAAAATCTTGGATTGAAAGAAATATAAATAGAAAGAGCTCATAGAACTGGATCAAGAGACAGTAAAAAAGTGAGGAATATAGTTTTAAAATTACTTAACTACAAGGATAAGGTAAGTATTTTAAAAAACTCTAAAAAATTAAAAAGGAAAAATATCTTTATCAATGAGAATTATTGCACCGAGGCAACACAACTCAGAAACGAGTTACGGGTCAAAATGAAAAAAGCACGAGAAGATAGAAAATTTGCATTAATACCGTACGACAAGTTGATCGTTCGCAAATGGTCTCGTATAGAAAAGTAAATATTTAATATTTCTTTGAGTAATCATTTTTTGTCTTATTTCTAGTTAATTTTTTAGAATTTAATTTAACATTTAAAAAATGGAGAACAATTTCTCCGATTACATTAATGTTAAAAATGTTATTCTAAGTGATAATGATAACTCTGATAACTATATTAAAACTATTTTAGAAAGTGAGCACTGCTCAATATTTGAAACTACTCAATAATAATAAATTTACAATTTTGCATATTAATATTCAAAGTATGCATAAAAATTAACTTAATTATGTTTTTAAAATTATAAGTTTCACAGAAAACATGGCTTACATGGCTTAAAACAAATGAAAAATATTCTAATTTTGAGTTAACAAGTTATATATCAGTGCATCAAATGCGCGATATTTGCGTAGGTGGTGGCGTAAGCATTTACATGCACAATTCTATTGATTTTATTCAACGTAATGGTCTTAATGCAAACACAGATTGTGAGTCATTATGCGTTGAGGTAATTAACAAATTTACCAAAATCATAGTCGTCAATGCTATTTATAGACAACCAGCTGACAGTTTCAAAGTATTCAAAACTTTTATGCGCATTTTCTTAAGCTCAAAAAATGTATTGCAATATTATACATTTTACAAAATTGGTTCAAGAATAAATCATAAGCATTATTCAACTCGTGCGATTGTAGTGTAAGATTCCAATCAACGTATTTGTTTAATAAAGTTTTAAAATGGCGTATCGAGCTTTCATTAATTTTTCTCTTGAATATTGATGATTCATCGAGAGTATTATTAAGAGTTACTCTATCAGTAATTATGAATATCGGGAAGTGATCCGTTAAGTCCGCTTTGATTATACCCGTTTTATAGCGGCTATTAAAAAATTGTTAGTTTATTATATTATCTAGTAATGTTGATGAGTTTTTAGTTACTCTTGTTGCTTTAATAATAGTTGGGATAAGATTATATTCAAGAAAGTTATCAATAAAAGATTTCACTTTATTATTTAAAGCATGATTGAGCAAGTTAATGTTCATGTCGCCAATTACGTAAACAAGCGTCCGCAATTGCGGACGCTTTTATTTATAGACAACCAGCTGACAGTTTCAAAGTATTCAAAACTTTTATGCGCATTTTCTTAAGCTCAAAAAATGTATTGCAATACATTTTTTGAGCTTAAGAAAATGCGCATAAAAGTTTTGAATACTTTGAAACTGTCAGCTGGTTGTCTATAAATAAAAGCGTCCGCAATTGCGGACGCTTGTTTACGTAATTGGCGACATGAACATTAACTTGCTCAATCATGCTTTAAATAATAAAGTGAAATCTTTTATTGATAACTTTCTTGAATATAATCTTATCCCAACTATTATTAAAGCAACAAGAGTAACTAAAAACTCATCAACATTACTAGATAATATAATAAACTAACAATTTTTTAATAGCCGCTATAAAACGGGTATAATCAAAGCGGACTTAACGGATCACTTCCCGATATTCATAATTACTGATAGAGTAACTCTTAATAATACTCTCGATGAATCATCAATATTCAAGAGAAAAATTAATGAAAGCTCGATACGCCATTTTAAAACTTTATTAAACAAATACGTTGATTGGAATCTTACACTACAATCGCACGAGTTGAATAATGCTTATGATTTATTCTTGAACCAATTTTGTAAAATGTATAATAAGGCATTTCCAATTAAAATAAAAGTAACAAATTCGGAATCATTTTTATCCCCATGGATGACTAAAGGCCTACTGAAATCATAGAAAAAAAAAGAAAAATTATATGAAAAATATTTAAGACGTAAAACTTTTAAAACCGAAATAATTTACAAAAATTATCAAAATTTATTTGAAAAAACAAAAAAACGATCAAATATTATTTACTATGCTAAATTACTAGAAAAAAAGAACGGAAACAGTCGAAAAACGTGGAGCAACATTAAGGAATTAATTAAAAAAAAAAAAATCGTAAAAAAACAACTTACCACCTAAACTTTTTGTTGATGGAAAACTCATTTATAACAAAGAAATTATTATTGAGAAACTAAATAAATTTTTTCTTGATGTTAGTCCAAACTTAGCTGCAAAAATTCCGTTTGAAAAAAAAAAAGGTTTGATTCATATCTTACATCGACTGATACAATTATTGACCAACACAATTTAAGCAAAAGTGAACTACATAATGAGTTTAACAGTCTGAAAAAAATAAAAGCCCTGGTATTGATCAAATTAGTGTTAATTTAATTAAATCTGTTTTTGATATTGTTGAACCTTTATTATTACATATTTTTAATCTCTCGATAGGGTACCGTTTTGGTGACGTCAAGTTGTTTGTTTGTCCGAATATAAATCTCACAACCATTAGCGTTTTTAAGAAATTCTTTTGTTTTTGTGCGCATTTCGATCCCAGAAAGCATTGCAAAAATCTATTTTTAGAACCACAACGGTACCCTATTAAATCAGGTCATATTTCAGAAAAATTAAAAATTGTAAAAATAACGCCTATTTTTAAATATGGTGACGAGACTATTATTTCAAATTACAGACCTATTTCAGTCTTGCCCTGCATTTCTAAACTAATTGAACGCAAACGTATAATTGACTTCATAAACGTCTAACTGAAAACAAGATGTTATAATTAATACGGGTTTAAAAAAAACCATTCTACTGACCATGCAATAATAGAATTAATTAAACATATATCTAACGGATTTGATAGTGATTGGTATACTATAGGGGTTTTTATTGATTTGTCCAAAGCTTTCGACTCAGTGAGTAAGACCATGAAATACTATTAAAAAAACTAGAACACTATGGTGTTAAAAAGTAAAGTTTACTTTGGTTTAAATCATACTTAACTAACAGGAAGCAATTCATACTGAAAGAATCAAAAAATTCAAAAAAACTTTATAACTTGTGGGATACCTCAAGGTTCTATTTTAGGACCATTACTATTTTTAATTTATATAAATGACTTATATTTATCATCAAAAAAAGGTTAAATACTATTTTATTTGCAGATGATTCTAATTTATTTTATTCTCTCAAAGATATCTAGTTCTTAATTAAATATTTTTAAAAGAATATTAATAATAATAAACAAGTGGTTTATTAGTAACCGACTTTCATTAAATGTAGAGAAAACTAAACTTATCCATAAACCTAGTAAAGCCAATAATATTCCTGTTAAATTACCTAATCTTTTAATCAATAGCATAATAATTAAAAAGCAATCGACTATAAACTTCCTAGGAGTGATTTCAGATAAAAAATTGTCATGGAAGTTTCATATTAAATATATTGAAAGTAAGATATCAAAAAGTTATTTCTATGTTATATAAAACAAAACATTTTCTTAATAAATCAAAACAATTTCCAAGTTATATAAAACAAAAAATTTTCTTAATAATGCATCATTAAAAAAAATTATACTTTTTGTTTATACACAGTTATCTTTCTTACTGTAACATTACCTGGGGTAGTACAAATTACACAAAACTAAAAAAAATTTACAGTAAATAAAAACATGCTTGCAGGATAATATTTTGAGCAAACAGAAATGCATATTGCGAACCTCTTTTGCGTGAACTTGGAGCTTTAAATATTTATAAACTTAACATTCATCATGTGATGCTATTTATGTTTAAAGCAAAGCGCGGTTTATCGACAGTAACATTTCAATCTTACTTTAATTATGTTTCTCATAAATATTCTACTAAATTTTCAGAAAACAACTTTGCTACTTCCATAACCCATCTTAAAATAAGTTCTTACCAAATTCAATATCGTGGACCTTTTGTTTGGAAAATTTTTTTTCGCATTTTTAATGACTAGAGCTCGTCTTAAACTCCACAAGGTTTTAAGGCTGATTCAAAACGGCATTTACTAAACATGGACTTTGATATATTAGATTTCAAATACATTTTTTGAAAATAATTTTATTGTTTGAATCAAAAAAAAATTTTTTTAATTTGTATTTCATTTCTCTAACTCTTTTACAACATTTCTTTATCATTTTTACCTCATTTCTTCAATTTTTTTACTTCATTTTTTTATTTTTTTAATATTAGTAATAAATATTAACTTATATTTCAATATTTATAATAAAACAACATGCAATTTTTAAGGATTGATTACTTCTTGGTTATAAAAACCTGGCAGGACCAAGAAGAAGATAAATTGTCTTATCGCCGAGCCCCCGTTACATTGGTGTTTTGTAAATGTATTAAACATTTACATGCGAAATAAAAGTTCAATAAAATAGAATATACACAAAAAAACTAAGGATTGATTACTTCTTGGTTATCAATCTTTAGTTTCATTTTATTACTTGAAACATTGTTGTTAAAAGTTTCCATTTTTCATTTTAAAAGTTTTTTTGAAAGTTTTTTTGTGTATATTCTATTTTATTGAACTTTTATTTCGCATGTAAATGTTTAATACATTTACAAAACACCAATGTAACGGGGGCTCGGCGATAAGACAATTTATCTTCTTCTTGGTCCTGCCAGGTTTTTATTTAATTGTAATTGTTTTTTGTTATTTTAACTAACAGCAAATATATATATATATATATATATATATATATATATATATATATATATATATATATATATATATATATATATATATATATATATATATATATATATATATATATATATATATAAAATTTCAAAAAAATGGTGGTATTAAAATAACAAAAAACAATTACATAATTGTAATTGTTTTTTATTATTTTAACTAACAGCAAATATATATATATATATATATATATATATATATATATATATATATATATATATATATATATATATATATATATATATATATATATATATATATATATATATATATATATATATATATATATATATAAAATTTCAAAAAAACGGTGGAAAAAACACTTAAAAGTCTGTAAATGAGTCAGGAAAACATAAAGGCGAGAGAAAACTAGAATAAAATGGTGTTCAAGTTTCAAAGGGTTCATGTTCGCAATATCTAGCTTGTTTAAAAGTTATTTGAGTATAAAGAAACCCAAGCAACACACTAACTAAGACAAACCTCAGGACAACGTATGGAAAATGTTTACCCAATATTTTGTGCTACTTGAGAAGTCATGAGTTGAATTTTGATCAATAGAAAAAAAAACGATTGTTTGCTTGAGCACTAACCATGATTTTTGTCGGAAAGAGATAGAGATGCAACCTTACGTAGATGAAACAGTGACTCAAGCTTGAGCAACTTCATTTTGTTTTTATACCTCGTCTAAAAGAGAAATTGCATCATTAAAAAAAGCGAGCATAAGTATGCGACAGTGTTTACGACAGTATTTCATATAGGAAGAATAAGTGGTTTAAAGAGGCAGAAAAATAGCGACTGCAATAAAGAAAAGCAACCTCATCAGGTTCTTACTTTGCAATAAAACCTTAATAAAAATCATTACAGAATTTAAAATAATTTACTTAAAAAATTTTTAAATAAACTTGACAGCAGCCAATTTATTCATTGGGCATTCATTAACTTTTCAAAGGCATTAATTACTGCTAAAAATTGTATTCTTTTTTAAAATCTAAAAATTATGAAAAATAGTAACATAAACTTTTTTCTTTATATTTGTTCCTATGTTTGCTATCGTAAACAAGATGTAATAAAACTTATACTCTGCTAATTGCAGGGTTTCTAAGGGGTCTATTATCGGACTTACATGTTTATTACTTGTACAAGCAGTATTTAATAATTGTCTAGTATTCTAAATTTTTATTTCTGATGCCCTCAAGTTTTTAATGCCAGTTTTAACATTACTGCAATCTTTGATCAAAATTGAAGATTGTTTGGTTATGTTTTGTCATTTTTATCACTAAACATTTTTCCAGTAGGCACGGAACATAAAAAAGACGTCTTTTGAACGTCTTTTAAACGTTTTGGACGTATTTATATTTTCTGAAATTTTTTTTTTGAAACCTTATTTGACTTCTTTTTTTTTTATTCCTTTCTTCATAAAATTAATTACGCCGTAGTCGTTGTACTAATTATTTACTCTGTGTATTAACAGGAAACCTAATTTTTTTTCAATGTGTTCAACTTGTCTTTGTTAGTATTATTATCTGTTGTCTTGTTTTGTTAATATTGTTATCTGTTGTCTCATTTTGTTAGAACTTTTTTATTTTGCCTTTTTAAGAACTTTTATTTGTTGTCTTTGTTAGTATTATCTTTTATCTCACACAATGCAGTATTTGTTATTATGTGTTTTAAGGGCAGAATGTAGCAAATTATATGTTCATTTACTCCTGTTACGTATGCTATGACCACTTTTTTGTTTCTAATTTTAAGTATCATTATTTTTGTTAGTATATATTTAAGGCTGTCGCTTGTAGATGCACTAGCAAGTTTAAATTAAAGTCTTTAAATATTTTAAATCGAAGCCTTTTCTATATTTAACAATGTTCTTTCAATTCAGTTAATCCTTACTTTGGTTCTTTATAAATATTTTTACTTTTTTATAAAGCTTGAGGTTATAAAATTTATTTGTTAAAGGCTGATAAAAAATTATCTGATAAAAAATTAGAAATAAGCGCATTCCTATATGTTAAGAAGTTGTATTCATTTTTATTCCTCATAATCCCCCTATAACATCTAAGGTTGTGACAATATATGGTATTTAGACTTATAAATACTGGCGGGCTAACGAGTTTATCTTTGTTTATTCCTTAAAATACTTGGATCTACTATTTAAAATCCCTTCTTGATTCTAGTATTCCTTCTTGATTCTGGTCTTTAGAGTTGTTAATTACATTAATTACAGTCTTCATACGAAAGTATTTCAAAGCAGGAACTATTTTAGTTGCTCCTACTTACACCTTTTCTTAAACATGAAAAGATTTTTCAAATTTAAAGACCAAACTGGAACAAGAGACTCAATATGTGGTCACACAAGTATGGTACAAAGTAGCTAAAATAAATTTTTGTTTTGATGACCTAAAGTTTTTTATTTTGATCAAAGGTTTTATATACTTTTTTATATGGATAACTTAAAAATCATATAAATAAAGTCCTAAATCCTTCACTAAAATAGTCTTTTGTTAAATAATTCTTATTCTTTGTACCATAATCTAAAATAAGTGAGAAGTTGTATGCATAGAAGAAGTATTATAATACATTTGTCATTATTAAAAATATTTTTGACTTAAAAAAGACAATCTTATCCGAACGAGCTTCAACTATATCTGCTTATTTCTGTATTTTCAAAAACTGATAAAATTTTATTATTATAAAAAAAATTTATAATAAATAAGAGTTTTTATAGAATTGTGATATTTTGATTGCCAATGATTTTGTTATATCAGGCAAATCATTAATAAATAATATAAATAGTAACGGCGCATCCTGTTACTATTTGTTTAACATTTGTAGATTCGGTACTGTTCGTTGCTAATTGTGCATTTGTAAGACACGCAATAATAAATGATTGTTTCCACGTAATTTTCTTTACGGGGAAACAAATATATCAATTCATTTCAAAAATTAAAAAAACAAAACAAAAACCAAACGAAGACAAGACTTTGTTTAATTCCCTGACGTTGACTACTTATAAAGCCATCTACTAAAAAAAGTTGATCTACTATAAAAGTTTCACTTCAACTATACGTTTAAAGTTTTAAAATCAAACAACTTTGAAGAGATGTCAAATCCCTTGACAAAGTTAAAATAATTAAGATCAACTGACTGTCTGTTAGCTACAAAATAACTGTCTGTTAGCTACAACTGACTGTCTGTTAACTACAAATACAAAATAAAGTTTAATTTTTTTAAAAAATTTGTTATGAATGAATTTGGTTTTACACATCTATATTGCTTTAACGATATTAAACTACCATATGTATTAAGAGTTATTGTTTTTTTTTATTTTTCTTAACGTGTTTTATTTGGTTTTACTACTATGATCAAACTTCTGTTTAAATGACCTTATTTTTAATAATCATTTAGTTTTATTATTATTGTTGTTATTTTTATTATTATTATTTTTGTTATGCTAAAATATTCAAAAAAACTGTATAATAGTTTATTTATATTGTAAAATTATATATTATTATTAAACTTAATCTGCAGTGGAAAAATCCGTGAAGCAGGAAACTTGTTCTCCCATCCAATATAGAAGGTGACCTTTGGAATATTAAATAATTTTAATTGGAAATAATAAATATTACCTGTTAATTTTTTTTTTGAAAGCGTAAACGTTGAAGTGAATTTCTGGTAGATTTTTATTAATGCTAATGAGATAGGAAGATAGTACGCTCCATTGACTACTTAACTGTTTCATAAAAATGTTTTACAAGCAAAATATTTAAAAACCCCTAATCCCCAAATGTGGTGAGCAAAAGTTCAAAGACCACCAGCTGATCTAATTTGCTCAAATTAGGTAATAGTGGCTCGATTTAATTGACATGATTTAAGCTGTGGTAAATAAGACTGTTGTAAATAGTTTTACTAAAGGAGCCAAAGTATTTTTTAACCTGTTGTAATTAATTTATAGACAATGTACTATTTTTAAATACGTTTTAAAAAAATATTTTCGTATTATTTAAAAAATGCTGTGTTTGATTTCAAGAAAATTGATTTCAAGAAAATTGCACAATAAGACTTTTTATATAAGAAAAAAGGATTCATACCCGAGAAGAACAATTTAAATGAAAGAACAATGGTCTAACGTATATGTTATTGATAGGCCAACAAGGCATTATTTTTTACTGAAATAAAAAAAGCCATGTGTATGTTTTACTGAAATAGCACTGAAATAGCACTGAAATAGCACCGAAATGACACTGAAACAGCACTGAAATAGCACGAATGTTTCACAACCTCATTTGTTTCGATAAAATGAGTTAAAATGTGTCACCCGTAATTTAACTAATCATTTATCTATTCAAAAACCTTTTCTAACGTAAAATGCTGCTGATCAACCCTGTTGCAACTAACCCATAAAGTGGTTCTGTCATACTGCAAAAGCAATGCTATTGCGCCAATTGAATAAGTAAAGTGACTAATTGAGAATTTAATGCAGTTGCGCCAACTAATACAAAAAAACTGTTGGCATAGCTGTAAACTTAAAAACTGCGCTCAAGTAGCTGGGTTTATTCTAATTTAAAAATAACTTATTATCTATAAACTAAATATAAGCTTTTAGTGTTTAATGTGTGCGTCAAACGAACCTTAAAATCAAGGTGGTTACAGAATAAATTTGTATAGTCAGTTTAACTATTGAAGATTTGTATTTGTATTTATGTATGTATGTATTTATATATGTATGTATGTATCTATATATGTATGTATGTATGTATGTATGTATGTATGTATGTATGTATGTATGTATGTATGTATGTATGTATGTATGTATGTATGTATGTATGTATGTATGTATGTATGTATGTATGTATGTATGTATGTATGTATGTATGTATGTATGTATGTATGTATGTATGTATGTATGTATGTATGTATGTATGTATGTATGTATGTATGTATGTATGTATGTATGTATGTATGTATGTATGTATGTATGTATGTATGTATGTATGTATGTATGTATGTATGTATGTATGTATGTATTTGATGTATGTATGTATGTATGTATGTATGTATGTATGTATGTATGTATGTATGTATGTATGTATGTATGTATGTATGTATGTATGTATGTATGTATGTATGTATGTATGTATGTATGTATGTATGTGTGTGTATGTATGTATTTATATATATATATGTATATATATAACTTTTATATTTTTATAATTATTTTTAAATTTTATTGCATTAAAATTTAAAAATAATTAAGTTATTAACATACATTGTAGTAATGTATATTAACAACTTAATATTCATTTCTATATTGCATATTTGTGTATTGTGAATGATGGCATTTAAAATAAACAACATCCGCATAAGATGAAGCAACTTTCTCCCTTTAGAAATTATTCTTCCATTTCCACAGACAGAAATGTATTTACAAACAGGCATATGGAGCAATTTCCACGGCAACTTGGGTATACCACAATAGAACAAAGTTGAATTTGTAAATTTGTCATTTCCGTTATATATGAATTGAAAACTTTAGTAATCCTTTATCTATAAATTTTATAAATGTTTTATACCATACAACTTATGCTATTTTAGTTTTATGCAAAACTCAAAAGCTTTAAAGAAACCAATAAAGTCAACTTAAGTATTTTTTCGTTTAAAGGAACTTTTTATTTTATCAATCAAGTCCAGGATTGCATGTAAGTTAAATTGCTTTTTAAAAATTAAATTTGTTTTAAACCAATTAAATCATTACTTTTAAATGAGTAAAACTTTTGAATTAACAAATTTATTGATAGTATTAAAATTCTTTAATAAAATGTTTGGTTTCTTATGCCAAATTAATTCCTCGTTTTTTACTTGTTTGCATTATAACTAAGAATTTCATTAAACGTTTTATCTACATTCAGAGTTTTAACTCAATATTTAAAATAAATTGTAACAATGATTTTTGTTTCTAGTATTGGAACGTTTGTTTTAAATTTTTTTAGTTTTTTGATGATATTATATTAAATTTATTTTAAAAGTTTTTTTTTTTTAATATACTCGGCATTTCACAAGTTGTAAAAAATTCTTAATCCATTTTTAATTAATTATTTTTTTCTTATATATTCATCTATAGCTGAAGAGGTTTATTAAATAGTTTTGTCTTTCATAAATCTTGCTAATAGTATAAAAACTTATTTATTTCTTAAATTTTGTAGATTTTAATGGAATATTTATTTAAAAAAAATTAATATTTATTAAAACGATACGAATAATAAAATTATTGATTAAATAATGAAACTCTATTTACAATATTTTTTTAATAATATTCAGTTTTTTCATATTTATAACATTTCTTTTTTTCCTTTATTATTATTTTTTATTTATTTAATAAGAGCTGTATTCGTGTTGGTTGCATGAAATCTGTATCCTTATGTACTCTTTGTTTCATTGCGTTTTATAACAAAAATCATTATTAAAGAAGATTTGAAGTTGTGTATCTTCTAGTAATCGAGTTTTGATCGAGTTTTGTTTTATTTACTAAATATCCGAGCGATTTGGCATTACTTTGTCATGAGCATATTTGACTGAGTTTTTAGTAATCAATAAACTGCTAAAATGCCTCTTAATGATCGGGCAATAAATCAAATCAACAAAGAGTTGACCAACTATTCAATGATCAGAAAATCACCACATTAATGAACATGCCATCGACTAACTATATGTTGGTTCATCAAACATAAAGTTAACGTCATCGTTCATTAAAGTTAACAGCTTTGTTTAAACACGTTAAAACTTTTTTTTTTGAAAGTTTAGTCCATTCACATGTTCCATTATTTAATGTGCACACACCGTTCTCCTCATAACAAGCTCTAGATGTTCCTAATTGACATTGGTTAGGTTGAAAAAGTCCTCCAATATCTCGACTACAAATTTCACTATTACAACCGGTTACCATGCACGCGCATGATAGTTTTCCTTTCCGCATTGCTTTTTTTAAATGTTTTGGTAATAAAGACCATTCTTTGATTAGTCCACAACTTGTGACATAAACCGTATTTCGTTTGATACTTCCGCCTAATAGATAATGTTTATTTTTAATTAGATCGGCGCTACAAAGATCTAATGCACGCGGAGTTAAAACAACTGTTGTTTGTCCCTCCTTGAATATTTCCGTTTTCTGAAAGAAAACTTTATGTGTTTCAAGAACGAAATCCTGCAAGTATATATTACCAACTGACATGCGCATTCCTGTTGCAACTTTTCCTGATATCACTAAAAGTACAAGCAGAAAACATGATTAAACAAATTTTTAAACTAAAATTACTTGCTAAAAAAAAGTTATATTTGTTATATCAAATATATGTTAGTACACAAATCATTAATAAATACATATTATTTCTTTTGTCATAAGTTAAAATAAGATCTCTTTAAAAAGACTTTACAAACAAGGCTTTATTCTTAAGTAAAGGAAAAAAAAGTTCAACGCCTTTATGACGACTAGTTTTATGACGGTTAGTTTCAGAAGTTAAACTTAGCAAACCTTGGCATTTGATTCTAGATTACACTGGCATTACAACTATTGTCTGTAATGATTTTTTTTATTTCTCACAACTTTATTAAGTGTTGTTATTGCCTAAAAGGTATCAACTTAATTAACTATTGGTTCGTATTTACTATTCTTTTAAATATTAATTTTTTTAGAATTTTTTATCCGATTTGTTTTTTCTTAATTCTCGGCTGTCTGTACGCAATCAAAATGTTGACGTCACCGGCACTTCAAATGCCTCTTTATAATATTACCAATTTAAAAAAAATTTCATATTTTTTACTAACTTTAATGTTTTTTTTTTTATCTTATATATTTACGATATTCACAATTTAGCTACCAGATAAACTTCAATCACATTTAAAGCAATACTACTTTCAATTTAAAAATAATAAATGTAATAATAATATGTATAGAGAAACTTTACATAGTTTTTTTTCGACATGGTTAAGGCCATTTTCCTTTACCAAGTAAAAACCTGCAGCGGGACACAATTTAAAGTTGTTTTTTTAATGTGGAGTCACCAGGTGTAAAACTATTATTGGATAATTATTTAGAAGTTTTTTTACTTGAGCTATTTGAAAATAGTTTATTTGAATTTATTGAAATAAATAATTCAATTTTTTTTTTATGAAACTGATTCTTTGTATTGACAAAAAAAAAAAAAAAAAATAGCAAAGAAAAGATCTTTGTTTATGGTCAGTTGTTTTAGAAAAACAGAAAAGCTAAAGCTTGTTTAAGCTATTTAAATCATATTCTATAGTTTTCTAAAGTACTTAGAACTTTACTTTTTTTTAATTTTTTTTTGATACCGTTGCAATGTTTACTGAAAGTTTAAAAATGGTTTTAATAAATATTAAACTTTATTTATAAATTCACTCAGTGTAACTAAAAGATATTTTTAATCTAATTGTTAACTTACCGAAATCAGACTGACAATAAGCTTCGTGAAACGATTTTGGTAAACATTTACAAGAGTGTGTAAAAGGCACAAAGAGTACTAAAACAAAAAGATTCAGATTGATCATTGTGTTTATCCGTCAACCTAAGTGAGCTTCGACGTTCTGAGTGTGCTTTGATACAAAGTTAAATGGCTCAAACCTGTGATATGAAAGTTATAAAGACACGTAATCCAATTGGCAAATTTTCTGCGCCAGATTTTCTGATTGTCTACCCAGTTCTTAGTAATGCTTCACTCTATTTTTACATCGTAAAGTAATTAAAAACATCGCTTCTTTGTGTGACTAACAAGCACAAAGGTAAACAGGCATTATAAATTTATGTCGGTGTCTTTCAAGTTATCCCAATCCCCCAATAACTTATTTCTTTCAAGCTCGATTGGCCCGAATGGCTTCTAGAACAAAAACATTTTAAAAGTTGTTTATGTAAGTTTATTAAGATAATTACGTTAGATGATAGTCATTTACAATTGGTTGGTTCACGACTTTTGCGAAGCAACCAATTTATAATGTAAACCAGCTTTTGTTAAATATCTATTGGTTGGTTTACAAAATACTCATTTTTTTAAAGCTGTTTTACTTCTTTGAATAGTTATAAGAAAAATTTTTGATAAAAATGTACAAATAGAAACAACAAGCGGCGCAATTAATTCTTTGCTTAATACGGATGAAATTTCCAAAGTTCTTATTTGCACACGTGCATGCACACATAAATAAATAATAAACAACCTTAAATAGCGAGCGTGGGGCTCATCAGTTACGGATCCTTCTAAAATTTGCTATTGGTTTTTTATCTTTTCTATAAGGTTTTAAAATGTACTTTTGAAAATATTTATTCAAATATTGACCAGTGTCCCCCTAAAAGAACTAGAGCTGATTTATTGTTACTGTTTGTTGTGTTGACTCATTTTTCATAATGTGTTGACTCATTTTTTCATAATTTTTGCATTATTATTGTAATAATTGATTATTGTAGTTTTTTCTATTTAGGCTCACCTCCCCCAGGTATATTTAAATAACTTACTGTCTGTGTTGTTAAACTACTCCCAGTGTTCGACAACTAAAGGTTGCTTAAAATGTAGTTTCATTTAATTTAGTTAAAATGTAAAAATTTGAGGTTTTTCAAAAGATATATTAAATTGTGAACTGTTTAGCAATAATTTTAAAATCAAAATTTTTAAAGCTTTTTTTAGATTTTTATAAAAGTTACTGAAGTATATTAAAGTTTAATATTGTTTTATTCTAGTTTTAGATTTTTTTATTCTGGTTTTAGATTGTTTTGTTCTGGTTTTAGGTTGTTTTATTCTGGTTTCAGATTGTTTTATTCTGTTTTTAGATTGTTTTATTCTGGTTTTAGATTGTTTTATTCTGGTTTTTAAATAATATTTGTAGTTAAAATATATTAAAGCTTTTATTATGTAATGATAATTTTTAAATTTTGTATATTTTGATTTTGACCTGACAATAAACTGTTTAGCCTAATTTTGATTTAAGACCGTGTTCACACCTAAAACAAAGTCTTTGACCCAATTACAAGGCTTAAAATAATGACGATAATTTTAATTTTGATTTAAGACCGTGTTCACACCTAAAACAAAGTCTTTGACCCAATTACAAGGCTTAAAATAATGACGATAATTTTAATTTTTATGCACTTAAGGTTAAATAAACGGACCACTTTTTTTAGTTAGATTCGTGAGCGATTAAATTTTGAAACAAACTATATGTTACATCAGCTGGTCAAAATTTTAGGAATTATTTTTAGAAAATCAATGCAAAAAGTAGAAGAAACAGGAAATTTTGGACGAGTTGATTGAATTTTGTAGTTTAATATTTGTTTGATTTTTGAAAAACTATAGAATATTGTTGGATATAAAAAATATTTTTGACTGGATATATATCAGCATTATAAGTTTATCATAAGCTTTTTCTTTCCTGATTCGGTTACCTCTGTTTTTCAATCACTTTCTTTTTTTTGTTTTTTTTTACCTCTGATATTCAATTATACTATTCCAAAATTATAATTTTGTTTAATTTTTTTCAAAAAGTTGTTTTGCATTAAGACATGCTTTTTAGTGTCTGTTTTATCATCCAAACCAATGGCGTATTGTTTTTTGCGATGTTTTGATCGCAAATGATCCAAATATTTGCCAGTTTACAGTAGCTTAATTTTTGCAAGTTTTATTAGGTTTGGCAATGTAATGTTTATCCGCTATATAAGTCAACTTCAAACATCGTTTATGTAATTTTTTAAAGTCAGAATTGAAAACTTATGAGGTAAGTAAAAGGTTTCAAAAATAAAGCGCAAAAATAAGAGAAAAAAATTAAACAACAAAACAGCTAAATTAAACTGGCTTTGTTTTTCAAATGCGTTATTAAATACGTTTAAAAACAACTTTTTAAATGCTTGACAATATTTAATGGAATAAAAAACTTGTGTCTTAAGCGTCATTGATGCGCGTAGAAGCGGTTTACTTTAACGAAGGTTTTCGTGAAATGACGCGTTCAGGTAGTAGTCGGTATACTATTGAACTATCAAAGTGTTACCGAATTGTATCGTTTTACCGAGTTAGTTAATTAAATTGCTTTTTAACTATATTCATTTTTAATAACAATTATACAAAACAATCAAAAGTATTCAAAATTTTAAGCCCATTACAGTTTATTATTAGTTTATTAAACGTATAAATGTTTGATTAAGACTAGACGAAACGTCATTGACAATACCAGATTATTAAAGGGAAAAGTAAGTACAGAGTCTATAGTTCACGTGGTGCATAGAATGTTTACTTTACACGCATCAAAAAACAACTTTGGAAAGAAGTTGTCCGAGTTCAATACAATTCTGCATCTATATTTATATACATTTACTATAATAGATAAATTCTATTACCTACTCTAATGTGTGCATGTATGCAGATACTAAGATGTCGCTCGGGTGACTATATTATGAAGCGTAGCATAAAAATTTTTAAATGAGGCGCGGTATTAATAAAAATAATATTGAATTTACAATAATTACATACTTAGAATTCGGCGCCCAACGGGATCTTAAAAAACACCGCTTTAATAGTTAATAAAATTTTGATCACTTATAGATATGTGACAACCAATACTTACGTTACATTTTATAAAATTTTACATTTTAAAAATAATACCTGTTCTTGTAAAAGACTACTCGTTGTGGGAAGTAGCTGTTCCTAAAAGCAACCCTTATTCACAGTTTATAACAACCTGTTTTATCACTGACCAAGAAGCTACAATTTGAGTTTTGTTTCACTAGCCATGTAAAAGAACATTCATATTGTAATGAAGAGATTCAACGTCAGATGGCATCTTAATAACTTCTTTTAAAAATAAATTGTCATTATTATTTTCTCACTAATGGTTTAAAGTATTTTTAATAATATGAAAAAATGAAACAATAAAATAACTTTTTTTACAAATTTTGTAGTTTAGCAAATAATAAAATAAAAAACTGTTAAAAATAAAATTAAAAGTTGTTTAAATACCAACTATTTTAATTTATTTAGCAGATTCAGAATTTACGTTTAAACTACATATATACACCTCCAAATAGATTATTTCCGAATGGAATTGATACTTAAACTTCAGTTCTAAAGTATTACACGTTTTTTATTTATAGTCAACTGGTATAATTATTGTACCTTTAAATTTTTTATTATTATTAAATATATTTGCTGTTAATAAAAAAACATAAATACAAAGACACGTTTACATAAAAAAGTGCACCACCATTTTTTATAGAGCCCCTACGTGGGCTTTACAAGTTAAAAATAAAAAAAGATTGTTAAATTAAAAACTGCTGTGTATTGTCCAAAAATTTTTGAAAATTCAATAATTTTGAAAAGGTTGAATAAATCTTTTTTTTGCAGAATACCCGAAAATTTTTAGAAAACTTACATTGTTCAATAAAGTGATTCAATTTTTACAATAATTACAATTTTTTGCCCTTTTTTTTCCGGCGGTTTTAAGTTGAAGATCAGGGTACGTATATTGTTCTTTTCTTGGAATATACAGTATATTATGTACTTTAATGATGTTTAGACGCAGTTGTCAAGATTACAGCAATAACCTATCTAAGAATAAAAATATACTTTAACAATGTTAATAAAGTGCAGTCAAGATTAGGATAATAATATATTTCAACAATGTTAATAAACAGTCAAGATTAAAACAATAGTTCAACAAACATTCAAGATTAGGACAATAATAGATGTATATTTTTTTTACTCAATATTTACAATTCAAAAAATTATCAAAAAAAAAATTTGTACCTATTTTACTTAGATACAAATAAAATTCTATGAAATTTTCTTAATTGTTTTTTTTTTTAAAAAGCGATATTTGTTTTTACTTTTTCTTTGTTCTGGCCAAAAACCTAAGACGACTTCAAACTAGTACGTTTGCCTACGGAAATTTTGAATGGAAGCGCTTTAGAAATGAAATTATTGAGAAAAAACATTTTGAAATTATGACAAACTTTAAAATTGTATATTGTTATTATTACTTGAATTTTTTACTTTTTTTTAACAATAATAATAAAAAAAAAATAACTTTACTGTTAGAAAAGACAATAAAATCAATTTCAATTTTTTAACTTATCTTGCTTAAAACGCTTATATCTCCGAATCTAGAAATATAGACTTGGTACCTTATCTCATCTTGCGCTTCAGATTAGAAAGTCTTTTGTCCAAGAAAATGTTGTCAAATGTTAGCATTGTGCGCAAAGTGTATTTTTTTCTCCCATTCTGTGTCTTTTACGTTATCTGGAGTAGGTCATATATTCTTTATCAAAAAAAAACTCTTTGAAAACTGGACCTCAAAAACTTGCAGTTTATGATTAATCTGTAGTTTTTTTTTCTTTCGTTGCATGTATACTAACTACCTTTGAACTTATATTAACGTTTTCTTTAAAAATTGTTAAAAATTTCGTTAAAAATTGTTAAAATAAGCCCTACTATGTTAAAACGATTTTAAAAACAGCGGCAAAATACTCTGCGACCATTTAGTTGTATATTAACATCGACTGTAAGATGGCTTACGGTCAATTTTAATGTGCTATGCTCTTGTCTATTTATTTAAGTTTTCTTCAGCAATTCGCTAAGAAGAAGCCGCAAATAAAGTTAATTTTAAAAAGAAAATACCATTTATTTTCAGATTATATTAATTTATTTTGAAATAGATATGTTTGATACTAATTAAAAGTTATTTGTTATCTGTTTCCTGCCATCCGTAGTCAGTTATGGGGGTGGTCATATATACTGGATCAGAAAGTTTTAATAATTTAGTTATTGACCAGG